TGTAAGAACACTGAGCTAAATGTTAATGGAAAAGTGAGCTAAGTAATGAAAAATACTTTTAGTGAAATTTTTTAACATTTCATTTTACACCTGGCGCTCCACAGCTCTTCCTTYCAAATCCACCAGATATCTTTTTTATCTTTATGGCAAATTGCGTAAGGTTTAATTTTGCAAATATATTGCACATTAAAATAAAGAGTTTTACAAAAAAAATGACAAGTCAATTTGATAATTAACAAAAGAATTCAAAATTTGCGAGTTTTGTATGAAATAAGTCCCATTTAAATCAGTTGAATTGTGACCAAATYTTTACATTCACTTTAATGATGTGCTTTATTTTCCAAAAGTAGAATGGTTGAATTATTTGTTTTTTACAAATAAAGAAAGAACTCACAAAGGTTTTTATAGTTCAGTGTTTAAATATTTTTAAATACATAAAATGCCTCCCTGATCATATGAATATGACCTTTTCTTTTTTCCTAACATACAAAAATACCAATACATGTCATGATTTACTATATTTTGAGTTTTTAAGTGCACTAAATAATATTGATTTATATTCAGTATTTGAATAACCTTAGTGAGTTTATTTCAAGCTTCTTGAAATAAAAGAAGCTTGGGGTCACCATCGCCTCTGGTCAAAAGAGACCTGAGAATGACCCGTGGGCCAGCCACGGTTCTAGCATGTTTTTAAGGCCCTGCAGACAATTTATTAAGTGGGCGAAGGGACAGAAATAATTCTGTGGATTGTAAAAGTTAAAGACCTCTGCCCTATGTTTACACTAGTAGAAAGACAACTGTCATATTTACRATAAATGTTGACATTTTATTTGTGAATCGTGTACAGACACACTTTACTGTGCATAGATTCTGAAGAACTGTGTACAGGAACACTGAGTGAMAGAAAACTGATAAAACGTATGTAAATATGTGGAAATGTTGAATCCATGAACCACTGATAGTGAACAGAGTTGTTTGTCAGCTGGAACCTTTTGACATTCACGACTACACCTTTGCCAAAATGAATGTGACATAAACTTTGTCTTATTATTATTATTTTTAATATGGTGATGAAAACATGCTTGGATCATTTGTATAGACTCCTTATTCATGTTCTGATTATTGGGTTACTTTAACTCTGAGAGGGGTGAAATGTTTCAAAGAAAATATACTGTATATAAATGTATTTTAGTTTTTAGTATTTTTTGGCAATTATGAAGTATTATTTTTGTACTATTTTGTTACACATATTGGCACATCTTCCCTATTGTAAACATGCCTGTTTTCTTCTGAATCACAGTTAAAAACCAGAGTTAGGTATGTTCGAGTGCTCAGACAGTTTATGCAAAGATAAAAAACACATCTGATGAAAGACTGGGTTGGATTTTATTGCTGACAGCGCCCCCTGACCTGCAAAGCTGTAAATCGCAAATAACCTGCTAAAAACAACCGGAAGAAACTCCAAACATCCCAGCGATTCTGCATTGTTCATCTTATTTTTAATCAWATGCTTGGATTTTATTTCCTTGGGGCGAGGGGTTTGTATTGGCAGTAAATTGTGAGGTAACAATAAATGTGCATGTTTTTGTATTTTTCTAAAGGCACACTCAGTTATACAAATAGAAAATTTGTCCACGCCCAAAAATCCAAACATTTTRTTTTAACTATCTACATAAAACTTGAAATAAATTTGCTTGACTGTAAAGTTATCTATGAAGATCTATGAAGTTTGCTTYCTGTGTCGCCCAAATCTTTTCTTCCACAAGCTTTTATCAAGTGTCTTTGGTGTAAAAATCTCAACATGTAGTCRTTTTTATACTGCATTTTTAGATTCAATTACAATTTTGAATTAGGTTTAACTACTTAATTTTTTATGTTATATGTTTTTAAAGCAGATGTTAAAAAAGTTGAGTAATTAATTTGTTATGAATTGAATTATGGTCCCAGTTTGTTCCCATCAAATAAGAAAGGATGGTTGTAGCAACACTGATGTCTTAAATTTTGCAGAACAAGCGTGTCACAATAGCTGTCTCAATATGGGTTGCAGACGATGCTGGCTGCAGTCGATGTTTATATTACATCGCTTTATTCAGTTGTTTCTTCAAGGTAATTGATAGATATTAAATGATAAAGTTTAAAAATATCTATCATTAATTTCCTAAAA